CCCCTTCCCCCAAGACCCTGTCCCTCCCCCCTCGTTCTGCTGGGTTCCCCGTCCTCCATCATTTGTCCTTCGAGGTGGTAAAGGACACCCTCTGCTCCCTCCCCCAGCGCTGGTACCCCTCTGTGCTGGGCAGCATTAGGCTACGACTACACTGCGGAGCTATTTCGGGAAAACAGAAGTATCCCGTCTTTTGAGCAGGCCTGTTATTTCCAAATATAAGGGGCTCACTATTCTGTGGCCCCTGTAAACCTCATTCCACAAGGAGTCAGGGACATTTTGGCATAGCGCTTGATTTCTAAATTTGGCGCTGTGTAGATGGTGCCAAATGACGAAATAAGCTATTTTGAAGTGGCATCGAAATAAGCTACGCCATTTGTGCCGCTCAAATGGCGCCTCTTACTGCGAGTTACGGTGCTGTGTAGACGCCCGCTAAATCTCAGAGGGAAATTGAGAGACCCTAATTCGCCCCCACCCCAATGATAACAAAAGGGGGCAAAAAGTACCCAAGAGACACCAGGTTTGTGGGGCCCTAATTCAGGTGAAAGACCCGACTCCCTGGGGGAATGAGGGTTCTTCTCTCTCTGACAGGGAGATGAGCTCTCTCCCCTTCATTCTGTTCCTTCATGAATCCTCCTGGACCACCACAGCATCTCAGTAGCCCCATGGCCTTGTGGGGTGAGCCAGTGGTCAGCAGGTGTAAACTCTGTCGTGCTGAGGGAAGAGTGACTTTACACCCAGCCCACGGCATCATAAATAGTCCCACGGGTTGTGTTGCTGGCTGTATTCTTCCTCCCCTGGAGGTAGACGAAGGGGTGGGCGTTACACCTTCACCCTCCCTGACACTGAACCCCCCCCACACCCTACAGTGGGGACCTGCCTAGCTCTCTGCTGTCTGACTGCAGCAGAAGCACCCCAGCTCTGTCTCCAAGGGTGTTCAGGCTCTAGGATCCATTCTGTCGCTGGCTTCTGCAGATCCAGTGTGTGAGGGAAGCTTGCCCTACTCCTGCCTCTGAGGTACCTGCTCTGTATTCACCAGAGGCCTTTGTGCTCTCCGGCTCACCCCTTCCACCCGCGCCGCACGCAAGAGGGAAAAACTGCCAGCGCAGAAACCGTGGAGATAAAAAAACACCCGCCCCAGGCGCACAGCGATGAAAGGACGGGGGTCGCTAGATGAGCGCTATAACAACCGTCCCTGTTGCTCTGCTGCCCGCCTGTTCCTAGCAACAAACACTCGTGTTTCCCAACCAGGGCTGATTGTGTGAAGGTCAGTCCTGACCCTTCCTCTCCAAAAAAACACCCTGCTGAGGCAGGCAGGGCCTCTCCACCTCATTTCCCATGCATCGAACTTCACAAACCTGGAAGCCTCCCTGACAACCAGACCCGAGGATTTGGCCATTATTTTTCTCTCGTGCGCGCTCTCTCCCATTCCTCTCCCCCTACAAGAGGATTATGGGTTGCACCTATTAATTCTAGTCCCGAAGCACTGAATGGAACCTTTCCTGCTTGCAGAGTGTTTTATAACCTGCCTCCTCCCAAATCCCCTCTCTGTCTGAAGCTGTGCGTGTGTGTCCTTCCTTGGCTCAAGGAGAAACTGTTGGCAACAGAGGGAGGCTAGCAAGCGGCCTGCTTCGGGCTCTTTGTGGCATGAACACCCTGCTCCTCCCACCCCCGTTGAATAACAGCACCTGGGGATTTCAAAGCACTTCAGAGAGGCAGGCGTGCGTTTGTATCTGTGCTACAGAGGCCCAGGAGGAGCCATGGAGAAGTGAACTTACTTGCCTAACGTCATGCAGATTAAGTCAGTGGCAAAGCGAATGGCCCCTGGCTTGTGTATCAGTTGCTAGACACGGTTCCCACCTGGGTGCTATGCTGTTTTGATACAAAGGCGCTGTGTTGTTCTTGCATTAAAGCAGAAACCAGCCATTCAAGAGGCAGCAGACCCTTGTGGCTAAGGCCCTGGGCGACAGCTGTGACGATGGGGATGTGTTTCTTGGCTCTGCCACTGATACCAGCATGCCCTTGTGCATATCACTTAATCTGCCCATGCCTCCATTCCCCATCTGTAAAACTGAGATCATAGAACAGACCCAGGGAATGTTATCAATGCTGTGGGGTAGGTGGGGACTGATCTGCAGTACAGCACCTTGCACAACTGAGCTCTCCCCTACAACATGAACAACTAACTCTGAATACAGAGTGGAGGTCCTTGCAGCCAATCCTGCAGCCAATGAACAACATGGCTCTGTGCCCGCGGGTAACCAAATGCCCTGAAGTTGCTTTGACCTCCCTGGCTACTTGTTTGCTGCCTAGGTTTGCTTCTTCCGTGTCGTCTTCTGTCTCACAGCTGGCTGCCGGTTGCGCAAAGAGAGAGGTGCACTGAACTCTGCACATGTCAGCGGTGAGGTATGCCCATGTAAACTCTGCTGCCTGAACTGGATTCGGATGGGAGAGAGGTGAGCAAGGGATGCGGGTGATTAGTATCCTGTCCTCCAGTGCTGTGGCTTCCTTTTTATCTCTGGATCCTTCCAGGGGCTTGTCAAACAAGGCTGTGACATGCAATCCAGCTCCCACTGCTCTTCCACTGCTTCTACCCCACCCTGGTGCATCGTTCTTGTACAGAGGGGCCTTTTATGGGGATCACAGCTCTTGCAGGGCTAAACAGAAACCAGAGGAACCCTTTTTCTTCCTGAGCCGGTCCCGGCTAGGTCAACTTCATGGAGCTCCATGTGGAATTGATAGAAAAAAAAAAGAAATACTTCGGACTGATTAAGTGGAATGTAAACGTTTTTTGGTAGATGCTTCCTTTGCCATTCAGGGGTGTGTTTGGCAGGCCTGGAGAGCAGAGCCTTCTAACTAGCTATGGATCAGCTCTGGGCCAGGTTGGTGCCCTGTGGCATGGAACACAATGCTGGGCACTTGCATTCTACTCCTGTCCTGCCATCTTGCCCGGCACCCAGGGGAATGAACCAGGGACCATGTTTCCTGTAACCTACGTGCTTGGGAGGCCACCCAGAAGAGACTCAAATGCCACCCAGCTGATTAGCAGAGGGCCCACAGCCGGCCGCATGTGTTTCTATTGGTGGTGCACATTCACACATGCCTTGGTGTACATAACAAAATTTATTCCACACACGGATGGAAAAAATTAGCAGGCACATTGACCGGGAACTGCCAAAGTTGTGATAACACAAGCTCCTGAAAACCTGGAGATCGCGCACAAAGTGGGGCTGGTAACAACGAGTTATGACAGCAACTGGCTATGCAACCATGAGCAAGTCACGTGGGGTCAGCTTTTCAAAAGAATTCACCCAGCAGGCCCCTTAACGACAGATTTTCAGAAGACCTCAGTCCCTGCTCTCAAAAAGCTGGCCCTTAATTGTTACGTACCTCAGTGTTCCCACTGGTAAAATGGGGATCCTTAGA